CCCTGCTCCCCCAACTCAGTACTTATAAAGGATAATAATATATCATAAAGTATATAATACTTGTACATTACTAGTAGCCTCACTATCCTAATCCTAAGCATAGAGAAGTGACAGGCCCCCGGGGAGAGCCTACAACGTCCAGAAGGTAGGTCGTAGAGAGGCATCCTAGAGCCTCGCTACAGCAGCTATAGGTATAAGGTTTATGCTAAGATTACTAGTACATCTTTTGCAGAACAGCATCAGCACAGAATACAAGACTTTCAGGGCGCTGCGATACTGATCCGCACGCTACTCATGGCTCACTAGCGCCTAACGCATATAATCTTTGTCTCTTCCCAAGACGACATTCTCACTATCGACCCCTCAACTCCCAGCTCCTTGAATATAACATAGTCTAGGCCATCTTACGTGGCCACAGTAGCGTATCTATACAGATTCAAACTTCACACCAGAGCCTAGTATGGCATGGGTATCCTCCAATACACAACGTACATAAGCCCGTGTTTGCTCATGTATGATCCCGAGAAGTTGCGGGCCAAACTCGGCTTAGAATATAATACGCTTAGTCCGCCTGGATTGAAGCGCAAAGGATACTCTTCATCCCCCATATCGACTCGGTAGCAACCGGCCTACTGTGTCCAAGAATCCATAGACTGATTCCTACGGCTTTAGCCCCAGTGAATTTTGTCGCCAGCCTATCTTCACCAGTCGACCCGCTATACCACTATAAGAACAGCTTCTTTCCACCATACCAGTAGAGGAAGAAGAACAAGAACCTCCCCATTTTCCCGAATCAGCCAGTCAAAATGTTAAAGGTAGAGTCGCCACCTCGATCATCTCCTCCTCTTCATTCGCCCTCGGCTTGGATGTTCCATCGACCCGCCAAGTAACTTCTATCTGGCTTGCCTTCTCAGAACCAGATTTTACAGAGCCCCCGCTTGAACCGTTGCCCGACTTCGAGTTCAGCAGCACGAACCATCAACAAGCAGACTCCCGAAGACGATCTCCTCCGCGCAAGCCGCCCTCAGCCGAAAGCCCAGCACGACCGGAATGCCAGAGGAAGCCACTTCCCCAGAGATGCTTCTGCTTGTCAATCACCTGTCGCCCGACGACTGCGCCATCTATGATGGTTGAAATGGCTTCAGCCACGTCAAAGACGCTTGGCACTGCGCAGAGTTGCCCACTGGATGTCTTTTTACTTGTGGCAGCAATCAGGATTGCGGGATGAGGACCTGTGGCGCAGAGATATCGGTCAATGTCAGGCCCCTCATCTAGACATCATCATCTTGCACGGCTGTAAGTCTCGTAGCTGAGCCAAGGTCATTCGGTTCAGCTGAGAAGCTCAAACACCATCCCAAGTCCGTTGGCCGGCCTCCATGCCAACTCCCGCAAATCTTCCACGATTGGACCCATCTGATCGACCGGCCACCCTCTGTTCAGCAAAGTGAAAGCATTCAAACAGACTAACTTCACGAGCAACATTCTCTATTAGAAATCCCAGCGGAACTTATTACGGCTCCATGCTCTAAATAATACTATGAACATTTCCATGTAGTTAGGCCTGAGGAGACTGGGTCCTCAATTACCAATATAAGTATTATTAAGTACAGTAAGATTCTACGTCAGTCCTAGGCTGTATCCCTTAGGCTGTATCCCCAAATCATGCCTAAGTCTCTGGTATGGTAGGGCAGCCAGCAAAAAACGTATGAAGGCTCCATCCGGTTAGGCACGATTTGGCTATTGGCTAGCGACTTAGACATGATTTATAGGAGGGCTTATAAAGTAAAGTTTAAATTATATATAATCATTCTATAACGTAAATATAAAAATAAAGCTAGAATTAAATAAAGAAGATAAAGTTGAATCGAATAATATACTTTATAGTAATTTTATCTTATATTATCGTCATTATATGCTTACTTTATTAGTTTGACTCTATTTTATTATTTGAAGGTAGGACTAACTTAAGGTTAACTTAAGATTAACTTAAAGTTTAGAAAAAGAGGAGAAGCTTACTATTATAGTATAAAACTAAGTTATTAGTATTGTTAGACTATAGAATATATTTTAATAAACTAACTATCATTAAATAATAATTATTAAGTATAGTAAGTTTAAATTATAATTAATAAAAGATTTTAATAATATAATAAGTAAAAGCTTATAATTAACTTATCTAACTTTTTAAGATAAAGAATAGTTATAGTATAAGCTTAAAAGAGTAAAGTAAATGTTAGAATATATAGGTTTATAATATATAATATAGTATATATTATATATAAAAAAAAGAAAGTTAAAATATAAAAAAAAATAAAAAAGAAAAAGAATAGATAGTATAATGATTCCTAGGCTATATCCTCCAATCATATGTAAGCTTCCGACGTAGTAAGGTAGAGAGCGAAAAACATATGAAGGCTTTATCTAGTCAGACATAATTTGACTATTAGCTAGCGACTTAGACATAATTTATAGAAGGCTTACAAAGTAAAGTTTAAATCATATATAATCATTCTATAATATAAACATGGAAATAAAGCTAGAACTAGATAAAGAAGATAAGGCCTAACCAAATGATATATTCTATAGCAATTTTACCTTATATCGTCGCTATTATACGCCTACTTTATTAGTTTAGCTTACTTAAAAGTAAAGCTGACTTAAAGTTGACTTAAAGTTAATTTAAAGTTTAGAAAGGAAAAGAAAAGCTTACTATTATAGTATAAAACCAAGCTGCTAATACCGCTAAACTATAGAATATATTTTAATTAATATAACCATCATTAAATAATAACTATCAGATATAATAGATTTAAATTATAATTAATAAAAAATCTTAACAATATAATAAGCAAAAGCTTATAATCAGCTTATCTAACTTTTTAAGATAAGGAACAATTATAGCATAAGCTTAAAAGAGTAAAGCAGACGCTAGAATATATAGGTTTATAATATATAATATAGTATATATTATATATAAAAAAAGAAGGAAAGCTAGAGTATAAAAAAGAATAGAAAAAAGAAAGAATAAATAGTATAATGACTACTTATAGTCTATTCTAGCTATCGTTTTGATAAAAAAGACAATAGATAGTATTATAGCTAAAGAAACAAACATTATAATAGATATAGTAATTAATTTAAAGTCATTTAAGTTTTTATAAAAGTAGTAAATTATTATATATATAGACTATCGCTTTAAGTATATAGTAGATAGAGTCGTTAAATACTTATAAAATAAATTATATAAGATAGTGTTAAAATAGTAATAAATGATTATAAAGTAAGTCTAATAGTTACTTAATATTATAAAAATATAGATAGACTTAGAATAGTTTAAGTTTCTATCGCTAGCATACCTAAAGAATCTACTTTTATAGTTAGTCTAAGATAATAGTCTTAAATATAATATATATAGATTTATATACTTTGATAAGCAATATATAAAGTGATACTATCAGTTATAGTATAATTAAGTTAATCTATATATATAAAAAAGGATATTATCAAAGGTTATATATTTAATTAAGAAGAAATAGTAGATAAAGCTATAGTAGACAAACGTTCGATGCTAACAATTCTTCTAATACTATAAAGAAAGTAGATTCTTTAAGGTAGACAAAAAGAAGGAGTTATAGCTATAGTAGCTATAATAGTAAGAAGCTGAAGACAGTAATGATAATAGTAGAATATATATAAATAAGTAAAGTCTTAAGTCATTAGTTAAGCAGTATCAAACGTTTATAAAGGTTAAGATAAACCAAATATAACAAACTATAAATAGTCGAACCAATATCGATTTTAAGAGTATATAAATCTATAAGATAGTAAGGGCTAAACTTGTCATTTAGTATAAAGTTAAGGCTAAGAGTTGCTATATAGAGTGTTGACCTTTAGGTTATAGATTGACCCGGGAAAATCATATTATAACCTAAGGGTCAAGAATCGACCTACTACTTTAACCATATAGAGAATCTATAAAGACCAATCCTTTAGTCATTTACCTTTATAAATTCAAACTAGTCTACTTAGCAAACAGTATATTGCTAATGTTAAGATCTTTGTTTAAGATATACTTTATAATATAGTCAGACTTATACTATCTTTAATGCTTAAGTAAGTGTCGTCTTTATTTAAGATATTAAGATATAGATATTAATATCGACTACTTAAAGCATACTATCAATAATAAAAAAACAAAAAAATAAAAGAAAGAAAGAGAAACTTTTGAGTATAGATTGTTAACGTAAGATTACTTTATTTACCAACTTACCTTACTAAGCTATGTTTAGCTTAGTAAAATAACCTTTATAGTTATAGCCTTTACCTTTTACTTTCTTTAGTAAAAGCGTCAATTGTTAGTATATTTGAAACTAATACTTTGCCTTAGCAAATTATACTTAAAGAAAACAATTCTATCATTCTTATTATTAATATTATCATTTATTATCAACTAAGTTTATTATTTAAATATAGTCTAATGTAAATCATTAATACTAATATATAACGATAGCTAACATAAGAATAAAGTCTTTAAGCTAAATTAATAATAAAGCTAAGAAGTATATATATAAAATAAAGTTTAAATAAAAAGATTCTAAAAATATCCTAACTAAGAAAGTAGTAAAAAAAAGATATTTTAAGGATATAGATTCTATCTATAAACAAACATAGCTTTATTAGATTATAATAGTATAGATGTTAATTAATGCTTTTACTTTTCAATAAAGTCTTAAACAAAATCGTCGGATAAACTTATAGTATATATAGAAGCTTTATAATATATTTGCTA